TGATGAAAGGGTGGTGTTTTTCATTATCTGACAAGAATATTGCTGAAGTAGCAAAGAAGCTTGTGCATTATGAACACACAGAACAGGAATGTCTGATCATGTGCAGTGGGAGGATAGGAAATTAATTTTACAGCACCCTTCAAAAAGTCTGTCAGAAAAGTTATCTTTGAAATATCCTCTTTCTCAGTGGGAAAATAACATATAAGAGCAAATCCTGGTTTTCTTGGCTTCTGGTGCCACCAGAGTTATCTCTCAAGTAAAGGAACCAGTCTTGTTTCCATTAATTCCAAACATTAAACAGCTATGACACTGACTTTTAAAAAAGTTTTTTACCTGGAATGGAGGACTAGCTAATTCAGCCTGCACACATGTATTATGCTTCCTACATGTAAAGTCTTTGATCCATGATGAAACCATCATTTGTTGATCTATTTTGCACTGTATCTTGCAATAAATGCTTTTCAATATATATTTTATTGTATCTGATGTCTAACTAAAGAGTTTACTCACTTGAATGAGAAAACTGAAAAAAGAACAGATATGTTTAAAGCTTCTCAAGAGTCAGAGGTTTCAAATGCAATAAAACATTTTACAAGTTGTTACTGTGGTTTGATTTCCAAGTCTCTGGGGAGAACCTAAGAAGACAAGGATGTTGGAAAGAGGAGCTTCTTCCAAGCAGCAAAGAAAGTGGAAATTGAATAAAGTTGTAAAACAAATTAAAAAGTGCACTGGAGTGTTCGTCTCTCCCCAGCATCTCCATTGAGACACTTTGAACTCACTCTCCCACTGACTGTAAGATTTTTTTGACAGAGAATGAAGGTGTCTGGTTACTGGACATTTGTGTCTCATTGGTGAAAAAAAAATGGGAAAGTAAAACCAGGAAAACTAGACCCAAAGGTAGGTGAAAATTTTAGCAGAATGAATGTTTTGAAAAAAGTATAACAATAAGTCTGTGTTTTAAGACTTGGGGCCTAGGGGAAGGAGAGTGCTTTTTGAAGAGGCCAGTCAAGTACATACAGCCAGAAATCAAACTTAGGGTCATTGATTGCCCTTAGAAATAGCTCTGAATATCCACTGTCTTTGAAGAAAGAGGAAATTCAGTCTTTTTTAAAATAGCATTTTTTCCCTAGAGGCTGCAGGTGGCAAAGGGTGGGCTTGTGGTAAGAGAAGGAGGACTGAAAAGAGACTAATTTTTTTTTTGTGGGAGTTTTTTTTTGTTTGGTTTTGGTTTTGTTTGTTTGTCAGTTTCTTGTGTATCTTTTCTTTGTTTGTATTTATTTATCTTTTTGTTTGACAGGATTTTGCTGTTTTTTTTAGGGGAGAGTTTTTTAGTTTCTTTTGGTTTTTGTTGTGTGGTTGGGGTTTGTTTTGTCAGTTGGTTTTGTTGAGGGGTTTTATGGGATTTTTTTGTTGTTGGTTTTGGGGTGGTTTTGTAGTGCTAAAGAAGATTATGTCAAATATTTGACCTTGCCTTTGAGCTGGGAGGCAAAAGTTTGTTTCACAGCTCCCTTCTCCCTCAGTGGAACTCCTCCAATGCTTAAAACTACATTTCTGAAATCGCCTCTGTAGCTTGAACCACATATTTGCAATTAAAGTAAATTTAAAAAAAATCAACATTGAATTGCTATAATACAATTGAAGTATTTTGAAAGAGTAGCAGAACTGCCTTAAGGTCCAGCAAAGGTGAGAGCAACCTGTTCATTTGCTGCAGGTACTTGCTAACTAAGATTTTGGGGGGAACTTCATGGGATTCTGCTCAATGTAGTCTTTGTACTGATGAGTATCAGGGCTGTAGACATAACAAAACAGCTTCATACTTTAGTTATTCCATGGCCAGGTTTGATTTAAGTGTTTTTGACAGCAAGTGGTGCCATCTAGGAGCCAAGACCTTAAAAATATTAGTTAGTGGTGTCGCATATGTATAGGTATAATTATTCATGTTCAAATGCACACACATATATCCGTACATCTCTATGTGTGGGTAAATGCCTCTTCTGTGATATGGAACCTTGTGCAGGGAGCAGACACGTGATTAAACCCTTGATGAAGAATTACCAATTCCATCTTAAAATGAGTACCTGTTCGTGGTGTGTTGTGTGACTGTGCATCACTTCCTCTTGTCATTCTCCTTCAGAAATTAAAAGTCAAGCTTCCTAATTAGTGCCTGGCACCAAGAAGGGATAAGGTCAAGGAATTAGAGCTAAAGTAGGCATCTGCATATGGATATATTGACACAGAGTGATCCTTTCACTGAACTGTTGAAAACAGACATCACAGTTTTTATGGCACACAAACTCCCTTCCCCAGTGAGAGAGGCTAAGGATGGTCTGGAGGAGTGAACACTGGTGCAGAGCCAGTTTCTTACATAGTTCTCCACAGTTCTGGACAGATTTTGTCATTCATTGATTCTCCCCCTCCCCCAAAACCATTCTTATTTGCTTGCAGAGCAATCTGTGCAGCCATTTTATATCTGGTTCTTTGTGTTAGGACTCAATGACTATTTGTACTTTTGGGGGTTTTCTCAGATGCTTAACTGAATCTTTTCCAGAGTTCTGCTCCTCTTCTTTCCTCTTCATTATTCAGAATCAAGCAAGGTTTATCAAACTGTGATTGATTACAAATCGCTGTGGTGATACTGCTGCACAGAAGATTAATGATGTCAACCTTAATGACAAGGTTATTTTATAGCAGAATGCCAGCCACATGCACACAACCTTACAGACTCCAAAAGGAGACTGTTTTTTCTGAAGACTTAAACCATACAGTTGCATGTAGGATGATACTTTGTTCCCTGCAGTGGAAACATAGTCCAAAACTTGCAGATAATTTTTAAATGTACTCATCATGAGAAAGAAAATCTTGGGCTGTTTAGGAAAATTATCAATCCATTTTAGCCCAGCCTATCAGAGCTAAATGCTCAGTTCAGCCATGTAAAGTAGATAAATGGAACCAGACTTTATCTGCATTTGGCTATCCAGCTGGTGTTAGGGTGCCATTTATTGCTGGTGCAGAATTGCTATTCATGGAGGACCCATAGCATCCTCCGTGGCAGCTGATATTAATTATCATTGTAAGGATTCTGGAGTGTAAGCAAGAGAGAAAGGCTGTAGAGTTAGTCTTGGGTCAAAGCATTAATAATATCAGTTTCATGGATGCAGTAATATTCATGACTTGGTGATACAAGTTACAAACTTTTCTAGAAGAGAAAAAAGAAAACACAGCAATACCTCCTTCTTTTAGAACACAAATACATAAATTTTAATCTGAGAAAAATACAAAATGAAACCATGTACAAGTTATGTACAAACCCTTTTTACAGGACGATATATTTTTCACTGGATATTACATATGACAAAGTCAGGTAGATCATTTCTGAGCACCAGCATTTGTTCTTTCTCACCAACCCATGATGTTAAAAGTAAAGTGATGAAGTAGTACTCCTTTTTCTTCATGAACTTTTAAATTAAGATGCTAGCTGGTTCTCTGTGTACTCCCTTGCCATCTCCACTTCCAAATTATAACTAATGTAGACATTTGAAACAATCAAAATATATTGTATATATGTATTTATGTGTGTGTGTGTTTTTTCCAAAGGAAGAAAATGGTTTCATCAGTCTTGAACTCTACAGAAATATGAAAGTTAAAGTAATATTTTTTTTAATATATTTTTAAAAACATTTTATTTATTTTTTGCCAGAGGTTAGAGTATTTGCATTGGCTAAGCATATATGTCCCAAGCTACGGAACAATGGCAGAAGCAGAATTTTTTTAACTGCTTGAGATAACTTCTTGCTGACATTATTTTTTTCGTTCTTACTAGTTATTGTCCAGTCAACAAAATGCTCTTATGTCACTTCTTTGTTTCTGAAAAATCTATGGGTTTTATTACATGTATTCAGCTGCCTATATGCTGTGTTCTGGGTTGTTTGGTTTTTTTTTACTTTATAGAGATCTCCTCTAAAATGCATTGACTGAAGCAGTAAGAAACCTTGTCTCAACATCATAAAGGTTCTAATTAGATGCAGCATTACTATTGAGCTTCCTAAGTTAGATATTGCTCTAAATTAGACCCAAACAGGGCTGCATGCTCTAGAGCAGAGAGAACCTGTGCAGCATAGATGCATTGCTGACAGAAATAGAGCTCTGGTAAATGCTGGCACACACTTTCTCAATACTACAGACCCACATAACCATCCTGGGCAGTGACTACAGCAGAAGAGCTACTATGTTGCTTCCATTATTTCAGATGGGGCTGTAACCCACACCCACTACTATTGCTCAGCATGAAAATACTATAACCACACCCACTACTATTGCTCAGCATGAAAATACTATAAATGGAATATTAGGAGACCTGGCATGTATATATAATGACTTTTTTTTTTTAAAAAAAAACCAACTATTTTCCTTAAGCCTGTGGTTATTCAAGAGCCTTTAGAATGATAAAAAATTAATTAAAATTAGAAAGGTTCTTGTTTGTATGTTGGGGGTTTCGGTGGTTCAGATGGCACAGAAAAGATCAAAACAGGATTATAAAGAGTTCTCCTTTCCTCTGATTTTTTTCTGTGCATTTGCCATTGACTTTGACAGATATTCCCAGGCTAATCCACTGTAACACTGGGAACAGATTTCTGTTTTCACTTTGTCCTGTTCATCGCCTTTCACACGCTTGGATATTTTGTTTAAGCACATTCAAAACTAGAAATGAAAGGTGAGACACACACTTCTTTTGGTGCTAAGGAAATTCACAATGATAACAGCTGTAAAAACAAAACACACATACACACACACACATTGACCTCAATATGTGTTCATTTCAAATGCATTGGGATCCAGGAGCCCTTGGGAATCCACTTCTTAAAACTATTTAAGCACCTGCTCTGTGTTTCAGTTTGAGCCCATGTGAGTCAGCTAGTCCAGGGCAGTTGCTAATATTTTTATGGATTGGCCAGAGAGTGACCAAGCAGTGAAAATATTATTAGCCATTTGTAAATTATTGCTTTTTTTTTTTGTCATGTATGTTTATGCATCAGTTTATGCAACCAGTTATTGCAGTAGTTGTTAGCTGTAGTTTAGACACACACACACCCAGCAAAACCTGAATGAGAACACACTATTGTACTTTCTCCTTCTACTACATAAGAGTTTAAGAAATGCAAAAGCTTCCTTTTGCTGGCCAAAAATAGCCAACCTCATCCACCACCACCACCCACCAATGTATAATAAAAGGCCAATGCTTTTGCAGTGTGTCCTGTACTTGGCTTGCAAACTACATCTGCCCTTTCTCTCCTTTTGCTGAGGCCATTTCTCTTTTTTCACATCCAGCTGACCATGCCTGGCCCAGATCAAGGGGTTTGTACTTTCTGTCCCATGTGTTCCCTACTGCTGGCCCATCAATGCTGATTTGAAAGACAAAGCATTAAAATGTCAGTGACAGCTTTAGAATGCTTTTAAAAAGTACAAGGAAATGTTTTCATCTTGTTTTTTCCTATTAAAAAATACATCATATACTTACTATTTTAGAAGGAACTACACAGTCACATTGAGGTGTTAAAATTTGCATTTAGACTATAAATATTTTCTTTTCTTTATACCTTAAGTTCTTTTGTGCTCTGCACTTGCCACCAAATCTATCAGAGGACAGTTCTACCCTTTCATCTTAGTGCTCATGGGCTTCAGGGGACAAATTAAAGTAATAGCCATGACATGGAGAGAGCCAGCAGACTTCCTGGAATGTGGGAGCCCACAAGTGCAGGGGTGTGAGGAGGGCCAGGAACACAGCCCAGCTGCAGCAGGGAGAGAAGGCTCTGCAGCAAAATATCACTGCACCTCTCATAGAACTGACCAGGATGGCTGGGTTTTGGTCAAACCAGGTGGAAACACCAGAAACAACCCTTCCACGTGCTACCCTGCAAGCCACCAACTTCCTTTACTTTTTTGTGCCTTTCTTCTCCCCAGTTCATGGAGAATAAAAACGATGACACCTCCTTGTGATGGCTCTATCAAATAGATGCACACCCCTACACATGTGTGTGCATGCATGGGTGCAAACACACACACAGAGACACACTATTTATCCAACACATGACTTACCAAAAACCCTATAACCTGTACCAGTAGTGCATGCAATTAATGCCAAAAAAACCAAAACAAAACCCAACTAAAAAAAAAACCAAAACCAACTGCTAATCCTCCCCACCCCACATTTTTGTTGGCTTTTTTTTTTTTTTTTTATTTTTGCCTTCTGAGAAAGGGGTAAAAGTTATTGATAAAGACCAAGAATATTTTTCTATATCAGTCATCATGCGGTCTGTCAGCTGTCATTTAGGTCATTTAGCTGTCATTTTGTCATTTCCCAGCATTTTCCCAGCTTTGATGTAAATTCATATATCCATATATATCCAAGGTGCTGGCCACATTGTAATTTATAATGGCTGAATATCAAAGATCCTCAACAGGTTTTCTATCTGTTCCTCAGCCTACTTTCCAAACATCAGTTCTGCATCTCTGATTATCAAAAACAGGACTAAGACAATACTACTGATTTTGGCTTTTCTAGAAATGTGAAGTGTAGACCCATAGCTCTGCCTGTTTCTGTCTGTCTTGTTTGCTCTCTATGGGTGTTGTTCTACCAACCCCTGCATATGGAGCTATCTGTGCCAGAAGAGCTCGGGAGTGTGTTCAGGTCTTGACCTTTATTTACAGCAGTAGCCCGGGATTTTGGGGTGTGACAGTTAAACTGGACAGAGACACACAAACCTTAGCTGTGTAGGGCTGCTGTATTTGATTCATCATTATGTTTTACCCAGTGATGCTCCCTTCTGAAGGAAGGACACACAGAAGTGGCACTGTATATGATAAGGTATAAGATATAATGTTCTATGCCCCTAGAGTAAACACTAATCTTTTCAGGAAAAAAATTAAAATTCATATACTTTTGGTGAGGTTGAATAACAAATTTCTAAAATTCTCCAGTACTCAGGACCAGCTTTTTTTATTCTGGTTTTAACATGAATGCAGTTCATAAATGAAAAAGGAGCACTGACCTCAAAGAAAAGGCTTAACATGACCCAATGCAGAAACTGGATGTAAATTATAGCGTGTCACTAGCTGAAGCAGCATATGTTGGAAGAACTCACTGGAATTATCTTCTCTTTTCAGGACTGTGAAATGCATTAAACATGGATCTAAATAATAATGAAAAACTGCTTGTATTGTTTTGTTACTCTGTAGGAGAGTGAAGTATTTTAAACAATCCAATTTTACAGATACTGTATTAACAATTCTTGTTATTGTCTTTAAATATTTATTCTACAAAATGTAACAACAAAATAGTCACAGTCCAAGAAGTCACTCCAGAATAAAGCCTATTAGGTGTTAGTATGGTTATACTTGTACTGCAGCCAGTGGACAAACATTAAAGCTGAGATAGTTTGGCTTAAATGTTGGATTATATAGTGGACATCATTGTTTTCACAATAAATTCATCGTCTGCTTTGTATTTGTTTGATTCACTGATATTTCTCTAATGATAAAAATACCACTGTATGTTTAATTGTGGTGTTTAACAATTCTGCAAAATTACAAAGCCTAAAGTTGACTTGCACAATGAAAATCTGTTTTTCCTGATGACTCTGGTTTTGCAGTTTTGGTTCTTGTTTCCATATTATTACAGCCTTTCCTTTTTTTTTTCCACACAATTGTGTCAGATGTTGCTTATTTGAGATAGAGTTAGTTACTAAATCATTCAGAACATAAATGCTTGGTTGGGTAGATACTGCAGCACAGATATGAAACATCACATTTTTGTCTGATGGCTATAAAGCTTGTTGGCAACTTTGTGAAACTGCTGACACAAAAGGCACCCATCAAAGGCCTTTTGTATGTCATCATAATAAATACATTCATCACTTTTATTATTTTGATTTGGTTATTACTGTTCTTTTGTGTGTGGTGTCCCAGCAAAGTAAAAATAAATAAAAGAAAAAAAAACCAAACAAAAAACCAGAAAAACAACTGCTAAAATAAAATGTTGCTTATTGTTGGAATTAACTGAGGACAGCACATTGTGAGATTGTAGAGCTGAGGCTAAACCAGTTTTTTATCCTGAATTCACCAAAAGGAGATTCAGTGTGCCCTTTACCAGGGTATGAGCTGTCACCGAAATGCAAGGACCTGGAGCTCCATCTCTATAGATATCAGGAAGAATTTGTACCATCTCAGGGCAATGAAAGGCCATCAGCACTTCTGAAGTAAGGAAGGAACAACACGTGGTAGGTGAGATGGTTTATACACTTCCATGCACCATTGCATCCACTCTGGACCAAAGCACATGGCAAAAGAAGAATTGCCAAGCTTGCCTTCCTGAAATTCGCAACTGCTGATGGCTAGTGGGAAATGCAATTGCCAGATCTGCCATTTCCAGCAGCTGCCCCTTCCATCCATGCCCTTGGCTGGGGTGGTGACATTCCCTGTGCCTGTGTGACAGAGCGTTCCCCAGGGGTTTCTGTGTGTGGGACCGTGAGAAGGGGCAGGGGACAGTGGGGGCGTCACTGGACCTTCAGGTAACTGGCAGTCAAGATGAGCTATATAAAACAAAGAATATTTCAGAAGAATGTTACATGTACAAAAATATGACTTTCAACTCTGAAAATAAATAAGTTCAATTTATTAAGAGCTGGTGTCAATGCTGAACAAAATACACATCTTCTGATAAAGAAACATTTTGGTGAAGTGTTGTTGGTTTTTTTTTCTTCTTTTTTTTTTTTGATTTACTAAAATACAAGTTGGACCTTTTTTTTCCTTTTTGTAAATATATCATTTGTCTCCCTTAATTACATATCCTTATAACTGTGACCATCATTCTCCTTTAAGCCAAAGACTGAGGGTTTGTTGGGATTTTTAATTCTTAGGAGTCTGGCCACATATGCTGTTTTTTTAAGGGAAAATACTTAACAATGAAAAAAAAAAAAAAAGAAAAATATATTTTTTCTAATAAATAAAAATAATTTAAAATGCTAGAGGCTATACATGACTAGTTTTGATTATGTTCATTTATAAATGAAATAGTTTCCAAAATACGTGGAAGCAATATTAAAGGCAGACAAACAAAGATCTGTCTACTTTATTTTCCCATTAAGCGTGCCCTTCTTAACTTCTCCATCAGTGGTTCAGCAAGTAAGAGGAATAAATGTCACATCACCATTCATGAAGTTTGTCAGGCTTTAAAAAAATAGTTCTGGCTTCGAAGGAGTCAACATTCATCTTCAACTTCTCGTATTGGTGGTATCAAGCTGCTTGTCGATTTATATTGATTGATCTGATTGGCCATGTGAGTGCTCATGGGCTTGATTTGAATGTTTCTGGGATAGGCATTATCCGGCTCATCTGTAAACCATTTCTTTTCTGCTAAGGAGCAAAACAGGTAGAGACAGGATAAGGAGGGAAAAATGAAAGTTTAATTAGTGAAGCACACGTACACAGAAACATTAAAAAAAAATAAAAAAAAAGAAAAAGAAAAAGGGAGTGGTCAGTAAAGTTTATAGAAAAAAAGAGATCAATAGAAGGTGACTTTGACGAATTACTAGCAATACAGTGCATTAGATTAATACCTCTGAAAATACTGTTATGAAAGGACGATGACGCTTGCAGGTTTGATAATAGAAGCTAAAGAAAACTGCCAATGTTCTACTTTGCTTGTTGGATGTAAGAGAGCTCTTTTCTTGTGCCCATGCTCAGGTGATCCATTTATTGAAAAAAAACCAACAAAAAACAAATCAAAGTCTAAACTAAGAAGCCAAGGAGAGCAGCTGGGATAAGGGTAATGCAGAAAAGAGCATATGAGTCTGTACACAGAGGAGCACCTAAAGAGTCAGAGACTTCTCTGAGCCATTTCAGCCTTGGGGTGGTGGCTACTCCTGGCCCAGAAATCATGCAGGAGAACATAAAGAACTTTCTGCAGTTGGTGTTTGAACAAGCAGAACTTGTATTCCTGCACTCTTGCTGCACAGAGTGGGCATGATATCCCTGCTCAGGGATATACACAGGATCTGGGGCACTGCTGATCTCGATGGTTTAAAATGGGGTGAGGGACACACCAGACACTGCAATCCTGAACGGATTGGTCATGACAGGAGACAGCAAGGCAAAGACAGTAAGGACTTAAAGGAAAATTAAGAGAGGAAGCTCTTTCTTTTCTGTCCTTGAGCAATGTCTGTTTCCATGAACACAGGAAGAATTTCATGGTGCAGCTTTAAGGTGGGCTGGGAGCAATGTGGGAGGATGCTGAGAGGCTGCAGCACTGCAGCCCTTTCCCAGCTGTTCAACCACTGTGTTGCACTGCTCCATTGCAAATATGGACAAAAGCTTCTTAAAATTCAGAAAAGAAAAAAAAAAATTAATTCTTAAACCCTTTAGAGAGCAATTTCTGCTGTAATTTCTCATTGACAGGTATGCAATTTTGTAAGATAACTTTATTCCAAGACTTGGAAACTCCTAATCTAGGGAGTGGCTAATGGGCATTAGGTGCACTTGTGCCTTGGCAAGCATTTGTGAACAGGGTTCTGTCTCCACTCTTGTCCTCCTTCCCCAGATTCCAGAGGTGGGTGGGCAGAGCAGTGGACACTTGTGGTTCTGGGCATTTCATTATTACATCCAAGGTTCCAAAGTGTGTGGCACCAGAGCTGCCACTCTTACATGTATGCACTACTTCTCATTCTAATGGGGCATCCAAAATGCTGCAGAAGCCTTAGTGCCTCACTCAGGATAAACTGCTACTTTTGCTAACCACTGAAATGCTGCAATATCTGGAATCAGGACAGAAGTAGAAGGAATGCTCATTTTTTAATAAATAAATGGTTTAAAATTAGCAAAGCAAAATTCACCTTAGAAACCCAAGGACTGAGCACAAAAGCTCAGCAGGTAAAGGAGAGAAAAGGAATGGAAAGACTGAGAAGAATAGAGGACAAATACCTGGACATAAGTCCACAAAATAAACAAAGAGCTTTGGACATAGAATCTCTCAAGAAGTAGCTTAATCTAAAGAATTACTGGACTTTTCAATCACTTTCATGAATAACAAATTAAAACACTTCCACTTTATATGGATTTTTAGAATTTACCCCCACTCCCCATTAAAACCTTTGCTACCTGTTCTTACACATTTTTAAAAATTAATTCAAACCTAGGAATTCAATTACTCATTAGTGGATTATAACTGAAGGGAAACAGAACTGCTGTATTGTTTTTCTTGTAATTTTCTAAAATGCTTTTCACTTATGTTTAAAAATGTCCTCCTCATTTGTGACCAGACTAAATAATTCCCAGCCCCCTTAAAGTTGCCTGAGTCTGAGCGATGTTCAATCTCCCATCTCCCTCTCTCTCTCACCTATTATAATTAAGTTCCCTTTGATTTGAACAGATTGGACGATAGGAATTCATAATGTTACATCCTGCACACTGAAGCTAACTGATTAAGTGCTTTAAATTATTCTTCCTGACAGAATGATAAAGTTACAATCTGTTCAGAGATGATCTACAGCTTGCCAGACTCCTACCGTTTCTTTCTACATTCATTTATCTTTTTGTCAAGCAGTTAAAAAAAAAAAAAAAAAAAGAAAAAAAGAAAGAAAAAGCCTCAATTCCATAGATCTTTTAAAGTAATCAGAACATCTGAATTATTAATGAGACTTTAAGGGAATGATTCCTGATGGGGGCCGGTTTAAGAAAGGTTGTAGGAAAAAGAAGTCTGGGAATGTGTACACATCAAAATAATTTCAGCTCCATTTAAAAAACCATTTAGTTCAAGTGTGACACATGAACCATTACGCATTTGTGGAAACCAATTTTATGTGATCTACGATTAAACTAACCTTTCAGAGAGGTGTAAAGTGTGATGGTTATCATGTTTTAAAAGCCTTGTGAGATCACATAAACAATTTCAAACTAACAGTTTTCTAATGGTTTGTGTTTAAAATGATTTTAAGGCAAGTTAAGCACCGTGAACTTTCATTGCTACCTTCTTTTTTTTAACACATGGTGCAAAAACTTTCCTTACAAACAGAACTTGGTGCAAGTTAATTCAACATTGTAGCAAGTAAGGGGAGACTTGTGTGAGTGCTAAGAATCATAACTGTGTTGTGTTTCTCAGCAGCCAGTGCAAAATACTTCAAAATATCCTGCTTTCCCTAAAATTTTCAAAAGAAGCTATTTATTTACATGTTAAATTTAAAATAAAGCTCCTATATAGGGAGCTGTTCTTTAAAAAGAAACCATCCAATCTCTTTTTGCCTTTACCTGGCAAGTAACAAATACATAACATTAATAATATATGCAGAAGCTGGTAGATTCTAATTTATTTTGCTGTTTAGGTTTCTTTTTGCCAGCGCTGAAACTTTGATCCAAACATTATCATCTCCAGCATGCAATGCTTAGATCCAGCTTTATTCCTTTCCTGTTCTTTTCTGCTGTTAAAATTATCTTTGACCACATGAAAATGAAATCTCCTGTGCAAATTCATTGACCTCTCCACTTACCTTTGAGGTGTGAGCTTAACACTCCTGATCTTTACTCTTGGCCACTATGATATTCTGCTCCCAGATACTAAATGTCCTTCTTGAAGCCCCTACACACTTTTCATTCTTTTATGCTATGCTTAAAGCCTGATTTTGGTATGTCTTCCAGAGTTTTAGCACAGATTTTTATCCTTAATATTTACTCTTTCTTTTAGATGAGAGCAGAAATTCCCTTTCTAAAGTCCTTATATACTGCTATACTCACCAAGCACTTTCAAGCTCTCTGTCACATTCAGTCTGCTCCTCTCCCTTTTGGAATATGCATATTGATCCTTACCAGAAGTGTTTCTACATTATAGTGACAATAGGCATAGTTTTTTATCTTGGTTTTTTTTTTAGGAGCTGCTGAAAAAAGTCCCTGATCTTCCTACGCTATTTGACAGGCTTCGTTTCGACAGCATCACCTGAGAGATGTTGGAACAGCTAAGCAACTGAATGTATCAGAAAGCAGAAAACACCTACTTTCCCCTCAAACATCTATGTTAGCAATGGGCTATCAGCATCAGTGCATCCATGAGGGTTCAAAAGGCTTCATTCTCACATTACAAATAAATAAAAATTAACATTTTTGTGTAACACACTTCCCCACAGCATAAAAAAAGGGATATAAATAATCAAAGTAAAAAGATCAAAATGGAGTTCTCTTCAACTTGTGTAAGACTCCAGCAATTCTCTCTCCAACAGCTTTGTTGTACTGGTGCTTTAAAATTTCTATCATTAATTCTGGAATGAGCAGCAACTTAGAACAAATGTCACTGTGAAACACCCTCTCTTGTAAGCAGAGGCAAAGAAAATACTACCCAAACATGACACAAAGGTTTTACTTAATTTGTATTCTCACCCTAATCCCAGATTACCTTTCAACTGTTTAAAACATGATTTTTTTGTCTTCTGTGACACTTGCAGTATTAAATTAGTTTGCATGTATGTGTTTGTGCATCTCCTTCCTGCATGTAAACATCTTGTTCATAACTAAATTGAAAATTCTCCCATGTAATTTGTTCCTGAGTGAGACAAAAAATTAATGAAAGTTTCTCCACCCAGCTGCTCAGCAATTCTTTCTCTGGCAGATGAATATTTTATATGTAGCAGGCAGCAAGAAATTTTCAGGGAAAGAGAGAATAAACTATTTTTTCTATAAAGAACTTTACTTTGCTCCAGTTCAACTAAAGGTTTGTGACAAAGATAATGTTCTGGACTTGTTCTTGCTTTTTTTATTTTTTAAACTACCAAAATTCTTAGTTTTGACAATGGGAATTTCACTGGAAAATGCCTGTCTCTCTCTGATTAGGTCAATAGGAACCTAGGCAAAGAACCTGCAGGTTTGCTAGATATAGTTTTGTGTCAACATTTGAACTCACTAAGAACTTGGTGAATGCTGAAACCATGCTGGGACTGATATAAATGGCAGGATCTTCATTTAAAAACCTGAAACATCACATCCTGACATTAGTGATACTTCTCCACTTTCAAAAACTAGGTATTTTCCTATGGTTGTCTGACTTGGGATAGAACAGGAGTTTTCCTCTTACTTTTCAGTATAAAAACCAACACAGGGCTAGTTTAAGTATTTCTCTATTCAGAGTGACCAACTGCCATTAGTATGTCCATATCAGAAAATGTTCATCACTGTAATAAACCATTTGATCAATCTGACTAGAGTCGTGTGGAATCTGTACACAATATTACTGAAAGTCAAAAGTTTTAGAATTCTAAATTCAAGACAGAGCAGAGAGGTGGAGCAGACTTCAATGTAATTTGAAGAATTCAGATTTGCACCTGTATTAGATATTCCTCTTCTGCTGCTCACAAAGTCAGGAAGTTACTTCTCTAATGTATGCTGTTTATGTTTTTTCTATTTGAGCTGCACTGTTATCCAAATACTATTTTTTTTTTTTTTATAAAAATCATTAGGTAGGATGTGACAAGTGGCTTCATATTAACACCCTTCCTTTCTCTGCTAAATGGAAAACAGATAAAACATTAATGGAAAAACATTTTGGTGTCAAAGCCATTACCATTCTGTCTGCACCATGATAGGCATCTTCATTGAGCAGGAACCTGGGTGTTTACAAAAGGACACGTGCAATTAGAAAGGCAAGCAGATGAGAGGATAAAAAATCAAAATGGGGTTGAGAAACAGCAGCAGCAGCAGCAGCAGCCAGTTTTACTTCTGGTTTGGTGGGAAAAAAAAGGCAAAAGAAAACCAACAAAACAATCAACCAAACAAACAAACCAATAACTGAATAAAGTTTGTAACTATTTTTTTTTTTTTTTAATTTCACAAGTTTTCACAAGGACAAAGTTATAGAGGGAAACCCACAGCAGTTGCTAGGTCATGCAGAACCATTAATTTTCATACCTTGGCCCATTCTATTCATCCTTGTTGCACTTTAGAAAAAGAAGTAAGCTATGTAAGTTTTACAATGCTTTTAAACTGTCATATTTCTGGTTGAGCACTTTAACTGGCACATCCTTGTAGTAATAAATATTCTCAGGGCAAAACATGATAACTTTCTTTGCAAGAAGGAACGCATGAATTTTTTCTTTATGATGAAAAGCAACTGTAATAGTCTCATTTCCAAGGGAGCAACCATAATTTGCAGCGTATTTCACTGCTCGGACTTACAGCTGCGTTTGAATGCACACTCACACATATATACTGGATTCCAATCATTATGCTTAGCACTGCACAGTGGTATTCTCTGTAGCCCACTTACATGGTTCCAGGTTTTGTCAGTAAAAGTGCTTGGCTTTATTGTCAATTCACACAGCAAGCAAATCTTCAAAATTATCATGCTTGGGGAAGGGGAAGGTAGAAGACAAAACTAACCATAAAAGCACCTTGATTGGGTTGGCAGTTACAATGCTGATCATTCCAAATCTAAATACTTTTTTTCTGTCTGCATGCTTTCTTGCTGGATAGCCAGGGAAGAGGGTATGTGTTTCTGCCCTCCCTAGCCTTGGAAACCCTCCATAAACCTAGAGCTACCTGTATATTTCAAAATATACATTGGCTTCTGAAGTTTAAACCAAGAAAAGAAAAGTAAAAGCAAGCCTGAAGTATCATTTCTATGGCTGTCTAGGGAAGGCTCCTTTCCATTACTTTATTCAGTTCCCTGCCACAACTTTTTCTGGCTACATGTGTCATTGGTGACAATTTGCAAGAACTAAATTCTGGCACGTGCATGGAACGTGGCGCCTCAGCATCGTGAATATTTCCAACCCAGGCCTCTTGCTTTCCTCATTACCAGCCTGGGGCACAGCACCTCTTCTCTCCAAATGGGAGAGATTTAAAGGCACTCAGTTGTCTTCCCTGCATTCCTCCAAACTGGCATGCACCTGCTGGAAAAAAAACAGGTAGAACATGCAGAAAGATTTCTAGAGGTTCTTCACACATTAGGACCCTGGTTGGAAGATTTATACCAACAGTAACTTGGAAAAGTTAAACTACCATCTGGGGAAAGGAACAAAGTCCCTTGAGATCTGATATGTAAGCACAGAAAAATGCTTGCTCTTTTCTGAACATTATTTATTCTGTACATAAGGTGACTAATTCACCTTTTAAAGACGTAAAAGTCCCAAGAAGGCAGTTTTTAATGACTTACATCCAATATTTATGATACATATGGCTTTTTATCCCAAATGTCAAAAGTGAAAGAAAATATAGCTACTCATGTGGCAATATAAATAGACAGAATAATAATTTAATATGCAATTAGACTCTTTCTAAACTTAAATTAAACCATTGGAGTTTTACAACTTCACGCCCAGACAATTTCAGTGTTAAAGGGAAAATACACTATCTCCAAAAGACTGGTATTTTAGATAAAGCTCTTAAACAAGCAGAAAAAGTCCCTGATATTGCTTTGGTATAAAGCAGATGTGTAGCAATAATCTATACAAGGAGTGTAAGCCCTATATAATATAAGCTTTGAGAGCAAAAAATCAGCAGGGATTTTTATTTTTTTTTCAGGGTTTTTGTTGTTTTTTTTTTCAACAGAAGAGTTTTATAAGCGTCAAATAAATGCATCAGCTCCTGTAAATATGAGTATTAAAAAAACCTACTGCAACATACATCAACACTTCTGCACTAAATGACTTTCTTTGTGTAACTCTGACATCAAGAGCAAGTGTTCATGTTAAATATACTCTATTTTTGGATATGTAGAGTAACTGCAGTGAGTTATTTATGTTTTCAGTGTGCCTATGGCTTTGGAATTCTTTTTTTTATTCTCCCCTAGCATCATAAATAACTTTTGGTCCGTCTGCTTTGTTGCTGTTGTGCTTAAGGGTTTTATGGTGGTGAAATAAAAATGACAATCACATGCACACTGTCATACATATGCAAAATATGTGTACAAAAAGGGAGAACTCCATGGGAAAACAGGGAACATTACTGCTGGAAACATTAACCGGGGAGAATGGGTGGTGAATGCAAGTTTCACACACAGTGGGAGCAGATACACATATCAAAGTCTATCTTCCTGCACATACTTCTGTTTGTCCCGGGAATCCCTGGTCTTGGTGCGGTTCGGTCGGTTTGCTGTTGACGGGATGGAGTGAACTGATGAGCTCTTCTTGCTGGAAGAGTAGGAGGAATGGGAGGAATGAGAGAGACTGGCTCGGGACTGGCCAGCGTTGTGGTCAAATTGCATCAAACAGAAGATCAAGTCCGTCGGCACGAGCTCAAATTCGTATGGTGGGTTTGTGATAACGTAACTGGAAAGAAAGGAATCAAGAAAAAAAGGAAAGAAAAGGAAAAGAGGTTTAGACTTATACTAGAAAAATTTCTTCTGGAGTTGTTAGTTCGTGAACGTTTAGCCCAATTTTTGCATTTCTTTTTGTACCCAAATTTAATTCACATAATTCCCATTACAGTTTAGGACCTTTTTAAGTCAGCTGTCACTTCTTAAATCTTTTCCTGTCAGACAGACATAATGCCTGAGAACGATGTTCTTCAAGGGAATCACATAATGATTTTTCAGAGAAATCACCATACAAACCAATGTCCTTTCTCTGGCTGCACCATAATGCAATGACTCAAGCAAATATATTTATAAATTGACAATATATTTATATATTTATATATATATATATATATGTATGTATGTATGTATATGTATATATATATTTATATATTTTTATATATTTATATATTTTTTTATATATTAGTATTTATATTATTATATAAATATATATATTTATAAATTGACCACCCCAAACGGTATTGGAAAGAATGGCTGAAAAGCAGAGAGAGGAGGATTTTATATGCAGCTTATTTAAACACATACTATATTTAAATACATATTTACATAGTTATTAAATATTTAAATACTGGGATATAACTATTGGTTTGGATTGTGACTGTAGTTAAAACAAGTTAAGGACAATACATCAATGACTTTGTTGCGAAGGTAATTTTATTAATTCACTCCACAAGTACATTCATGGCCTCCAAGAGCATTTATAAATCTGCACATCTGAAAATCCGACAATGCTTAGTAAAAATCTCAGGCCTGAAATAAAAACTTGCTCAATTTCAAGAATCCCCACCTTCACCTAATGGCCTTTCAGGGTATGAAGGGTCTACAGAGCAGCCACTAAGTTTTTTCATGCATGTGAAAAGCAGACTTGAGCAAGGCAATTGGCATTTTCTGTCCGAGCAAGAAATGAGTAAAAATTGAACACGAAGCTCAAGACTTCTTTTCAAATTAATTCAATGCTCATAAGAAATCTGCTGAGCTGCTTCAGGAACAGAAGTCCCTTACTAATCCAACAAATAATCCCAAGTATAGCAACTACAGTGTAAATCTAAACTGCAAATCATTTTTTCTACCCAATTTGTTCAAATTCTTACAGAAGAAGCCGCTTTGGTGAGCTGCACTATTGTTTATTGCCATGTTCACCCAATAATGATGCTTTTTTGTAGAGCACGAAGCAGTAACAGATGGTAGATTTGTGATACTTCTGGTATGGGTCTGTGTGTGTATTTCTAGGAAGCAGTTAATTAAGACACATTTCAAGCAAGCTGCTAAATGGCCTTCAGTTTGCAAAGATGGAAATGTGTCTGCTCTATTTAAAGCACTGAGGTCAGGCTTGGTGCTACTGAAGTAAAAATGTAGTCTACCAAGAGAAGGGTTTTCATTTACAGGAAGAAATTATGACTAGGCTCAGATGGTACTGATGGGAAGCCCACAGGAGTATTTTTTTTGAGCACTGAAAGAAAAGACTAGCTACTGTAATTTAAATTATTATCCCACAACTTAGAGTTGATTGATATAAGGAAACTGAAGTCCTTTCCTTGGATCCAAACAGTGGATCATCATAAAGCAAACAAGATAAAGATATATTCTGAAAATTAATTAAAAATTTTTGAATAATATTAGCTGGCAATTTATGCTATGATATTTAGCTTATGATTTGAAGTCAGATAAAGAGTCATCATGAAATTCTCAAAGAGGGTTGTGTGGAAAAGTTATGCAAAAATGGAGCAAGCTCTTTTTTATATTTATTTCAGGCACTGGTCTCTTCCTTGCTGAGAAGACTGAAGATCAGTGAAGCAGTGATGCTCTAAAAGACCAGACTCACCGTTTAGTGCATTGGCTGGGAGTACTTAGATGTGCATCCCTTAATCGATAAATTCCAAAGCAAAGCATATTGTATGTTTTCAGTGCTTTACAGAATAGATCTCCATAACATCCTCCATCCTAGAGGAAAGAGAGGAGATAAACAACAGAAAAAGAGAACAGTGCATTTTTTTTGTCCTTTCTTTGCTCAGTTAACACAATGTCAGGGTCATTCAGCATGAACTTATAAAAAAAGGGACAATGTATAGACATTCTCTTGTTTGTCTCAAATGAGAGCCTTTTACCCAAGGAAATTAATAATCTAAATGTTTTATTTCAAGTAAGTAACTACGTAAAGTGATGATTGTTATTTTGGAGAGCCTTGGTCAATGAAATAATGACAAATTGAAAGACTGAGTGGTTTGTTTTAAGCTGGAAATATAAATTTTGGTACCAGACAATGCATATTCTGCAAATTACATTAACTGTGGTATTTAAATTGTTAGTATCTTTGACCCTTTCTTGGCAGCAGCCATACTGTCATCCAGAAAAAAAAAAAAATAAAAAAAATTCACCAGAAGCACAACAGAAATTAGAGTTCTAAGGGTTTAAAAGGATAATGAAAAAATGTAAATAATAATGTAAAATAACGACTAAATGTATGATTAGCAAAAAAACACATTTAGATTTGCTCATTTGTGTAGCTGAAATAGTGATTCTTAAGTAATCATGAGAGTTAATGCACACTGCCTTCACAGATGTAGTGCAGTTGAGGCTCTGGTGAAACAGCATTTGAAAGACTGGTGTTGCTTATTTTATTTGTGGAAATGTTAAGCCGCATGCTGAAGTGTTTTGATGAGCTGCTGGTCTCAGCTACAACTGGACTGCTCCACCAGCTGAAAGGCTGTAGGCTTCTACATGTGTACTCTTGCTGCCCTAACTCTTAAACTGGGATTCCCTGTCGTTTCTGTGAAGAAGGAAATTCCATTCTTTTTGGACAGAGCTGGTGAACACAAGGTTAATTTAAGAAACACCAAAATCTACATTATCATCAAAGCAGAGTGGGTGCTCACCTCAAGATTTCAAACTGTGGTCCAGAAAACATTTCTAGATACTCTTCCATCTATTTTTATAAATGCACTCTTTTTAAAAGATCATTTTTTTTTGTTTTGTTTAAATTTTTTATTTGTTTTTTGACTTCACCCTTAGAACATTGCAGTCAAATTATCAGAAAATTAGGATTTCATAAGAATTTTAGTTCATCTAAACCCAGCAGAAAACAAAACTTATAGCTTTGTTTCCAAGCTAATAAGCAGATTTTAAGAACTAGAAGCTTGGTGAAAATACTAAATAAGCTTATCAAAACCAGAAAAAAGTGTATCTATGCATATTGAGTATACTTAGAGTTCATTATGGCACAATGGTTATCTCATCTGAATTAGCTGAGCTATCTCTTTAGCTGAAAATGAAGAAGAGCCACAGGATTTTCTGTATGAAATATGCAGGCAAGGATCTTGGGCAGTCATACAGCTTCTTAAAAAAGGTAAAGAGCAAACCTGGAACTCTGTGCTATTAATTTTTAAACAATCCAAAATCTCTAATAAATTCAGTAATAGAAACGATATGCTTATTAAGGTAGATTTTTCACTCAGTCTGAGAGAAAGCTAATAGAGCACAGACCAGCCTTGGTCCTACATTTCCCTCATGTTCTTACCCCTAGGTCTGCAAATGGCCCATCATACAAAGCCAACTGAGCAACTCGACACCTGTCCCTGTTTGCAAGTGTCTGGGGCGTGCTGTAACCTCCTCTCAATGCATTTTCCTCAGCAATCAGTGCTTCCAGCTCTGGTGTGGCTCCTCCTGTTACCAATGTCCGTATCAGTGTGAGGATATTGTCATTGAAGTATGTCTGCAGAGATAAAAGAAAGCTCTTTAAGCAAACACCATTAAAGTCACAACTGAAGACATCCAAATTACAACTTTTCCGGGTTTCTGCTGTTTAAAGTTCTTGGCTGTCTCTTCAAATAATTTTATATAGAAAGTGAAAAGACAGCAGCCTCCAATTACTCTATTTTCTTCTATCCCATTAGGCTCCTATACTAGATCCTTCCTCTTAAACACCAATTCAGGCTGATTTTTATTAAAGTACAAAAATTTGAATGATTTATGTTTCCTATAATTGGTGTTAGTAGTGATGCAATGACTGCTTTCCTTCTCATCGCTCTCATGTCTAATAATGGGCTTTAGGACATGTAATTGTAAAATTCAGACCACATTTAAAGCTTACACAGGCTAGATTGCCTTTTTACTCTTGTCACCAATTCGTTGGGGAGCTGCCTTTGTGCTGCAAATGTCATTACTTATTACTGTGGCTGGACTCTAGCAGTCTAACCGATGTATTGTACTAAACATCTTATTACGAGACTTGACAGTGTTCAGACATAAGCATGTATCAATTAAACATCTTGAGTTCATTCCAGATAAATGTATGATGAGTTTGGGATCCTGGTGGTCCTTTTAAAAAACTCTAGGGTATAGGGTAAGTGTGGTTTATTAGGGAAGATTTACTCCACACTGACATTTTGCCAGCGTCTGTAGCATCGCTGGTCTGTCAGGCAAACAATGGGTATTTAAAATATTAATTTAAATCCAGATGAATGACTTTCAAGTTCACTTAAAAGTATACTGGTATAGTTCAGACATACTCAGTTAAACATCTGCAATGTATTGCACTGGGCAAAAAAAAAATGTTGAACAAAAAAAATGGAAAGACTGTCACTTATAATGTCACCAATGTGTGAGTTTTCAGAAGCTTTGCAAGTGGAGGGAACATAAAAGGAAAAAATGAGCTCACTTTAGAGTACACAGGATTGACATTACTGAATTTCTGGATTTTGTTGAATTTAGGACTTAGAACAAATGCCTGTAATCCAACCAAGTAAAAATGAATAGTGAATTCTCAAACAGTGCTTGTTGTCTAAAGACAAGACTTTTAAAATAATACTTTTCAATGGAATTCACTGCTCTATCCATATAATGTAACTGTATTTAATACATGGGTAAACTGAGGTAGAGGTTGAAATATTTTATCCTGAGATCAAAAAGCAGAACTGGCTTCCTATCCATGTTACTTTGATATTCTTTCTTTGTATAATGAAACTTCAGTTTCATTGTTCGCTGGAGATGACAGATAAAACAGAAGAAAATGAGTTCCACGCTGCAATGTTTTTCACTTTACATTGAAGTTCCCTAACTTCAAGCTTCTCTGCTTATTTACATAGGCATATATGCCATTCACCTGTTGACTAAATTAAAATGAGAGGAACATATTCTTATTGTTATACATGCCCTAAAGCAAATATTTGCATCTCATCAACTCCTGTTATTTAAGTTAACCTGGGTAAGGCACTTCATATTTTATCTACAAGGCGTACTGTAAAGAGTAGTCTAACATAAGCAGAGGTTCAGGAAGATTCAGATAGTCTAAACCAACAGCTGATCTCAAATCAGCTCTTACACATGTGGATGCACTGGGTAACAATTCAAGTGTAATACTCAAACCTCTCTTAACATATAGAAAAATCAATGTGACCCCTTGCAGGAATGTAGGTCTGGAGCGATTACATGATGTTTAATAGGAATTGCCACCGTGAGAGAGAGAGAAGACATTCAGGCATGATTGTTTATTTTTCAATTACTTCTTCCTTGATGTCCCTGAGATGAAATCAGTCGCCCTCTTTGGCAACTGTTCCCACTGTGCTGTACCTCTGAGGCAAAGCTAAGACCCTTACTAGCAAAGGAAGCAGCATTTATTGTGGAACAATGGTTTAATTTGGATTTCACACCATGACTGATGTGGACGGCACCATTTATTCAGATGGATGAATACAGCCAAAAGATGTTTCTTGGGGTTTGTGTCTTTTTTGCCATCAATGGGAGAAAAGATTCCAAGTTTCAGGACAAACTGCTGCAGCGTTGCATCTGATCAGAAAATGCCCAACCATGAGAAGGAAAAGATGGGTGAATAGGAAGCTGTAACTTGTCACCTTCTGCTAAGTAGGGTTGCTTCCTTCTGTACTAGCATATTTAACACTCAAGAAAAAGCTGTCTGCCCATGCTTTTGATTGTCACAAAAATCAGACTCCTCATTACATCTTGCCAGTTTGGAACTAGGGGAACATTGAAAAGCTGAACTAGCTGATATCCATTTCCTTTGGAATAATAATACACTGAAATTAATTTGAGAGTGATCTTCTACTTGCTCTGTGGGAGGGTACATGGCCTGGATATGCCAGTACTTATAAGAGACTGATCTACAGAATGTCTTTGGAAAGGTGCTGTTGTACTTAAAGTAACAAGGCACTTTCCAGTGATGGAAAAGAATCCCTTTTGTTGAGTGTAAAATCAAAACTGAAGGAATACTTGTTTGCTGTTGTCATTAACCAAACCTCACACTGGACATGTGCGTGATATCACTTTAATTGGCATCCAAAATGAAAATATGAAATAGTTGTATTCTAAACACAGAAAAAAGGAAATGCATCATAGACACTGAAACTGGGTAAATAGCAAGGAAATCATGACACAGATATCTGAGCTAGCAGTGCCACCTAGCCCTTGCTTTGGAATCATAGTGCAGCTCTTTCAAATATTTCAGGGATGCTTTCCCATTTGTTCAATCATTTTTTAAAGTATAATTACCAGAGTGCTTATGTTTTGCAGTTAATGCTGTCATGTCTTTTAAAATAATTGGTCTTCTACAGAAAATTTAACTGAAAATTAGCACATCTTTTAATAATATTGCTTTAACTTTAACAGCACTTTGCCTTTCATTTATAATTACACTGAAATTGTCATTTTTCAAGTTATATCTGCCTTTTCTGTGTTTTCTAGTGGGTTTTTTAAGGAATTTCTTTTAAGAAGACTCCTCTGCTACACATGACTTTAAACCTCACCTTCAAACAAATATTTTAACTTGCTTTTCTTTTTCCATTGGAGAAATAATATGTAGTCAAGCCCAAGGAGTGACTGAGCTAACATCAATAATTCATACTAATAACAAAAGAGCCTTTGAGAGGGAATCAACAGAGAAAATAAATAACAGCACTTCACCATTTGAAAATATATTAATTCTTAAACTATTGTCCAAATTTTAAAGAAGTTCATAGAACTTTAAGTTACAAGATGCTGCTTACTAATTCTCTGAACAGACTTGCACAAAAAATAGTCTTGTGTTCATATCAAAGATTAGAACAGTTTCTTCTCTATATAAATAAGACTGTGAGGATCCCTTAGGGAAAACTCTTGAGTATGGGATATAATGAAAAGTTATTTTCAACTGTTTTAATGATTTTCTTCTATTCTGTGCTTTTGTTTACATGAAGAAAAAGAAACAATAAAGACCTAAAGTTCTAGGACAAGCAAATGAATTCCAGGGTAGTGAATGTTAAATGGTATCACCTGGTGCTCCAGCAGCACCTCAGGTCTGTTGCAGCGGTAGGTGTGGGAGGGACGCCAGCCTTCCACAACTTCTGTGATTCTCACATCTTCAGTGCCAAAAGGAGTTAACAGGGAGCCTTTGGCTCTCAGGCCAACTGCTCAAACCTTTGAAGGTATTGTGTGTTGAAAACTGGATTCCTTGCATGTACAGGATTTTATGGAATAACTATCTCAACAAGACCCAGAAAGAAGTACTTCTGCTCAAAAATTTTCTTCTTTGACAATCCTATGTCATATAACTTTTCTACAGCTGAAGATAACTTTTTTAAAAAACATTAACATAATCTAAAGGATGCTTCCAATCCCACACTTTTTAGTTACATTTTACTTTGTGATGAAAGCATGCTCTGCTTTTCAGAAGTGGTGCTGCCTTGAGACTGACAGACAATGTGTATTCTTTCCCTGGGTCTGCATACACTACAACTAAATAAATATTAATATATCATTTAAGTATGTGATGGCAGTAGATGTCTCTTTGAAGACATAATAACAATTAGCTGGAGCCTTTTAACAATAGCCACCGCCACAGTTACTACATGAACCAAGCCCAGAGCCTTCCCACAGAGCACAGGAACTCTCTAGAACCAAACCTGGTGAGATCCCTGCTACCAACTCATTAAAAACACAATGCAGGTGTCCAGCTTCTTCTTGTCCTCTGAGCAACAGTGTTTGACTACTACACTCTGAATCCTGAGCTTGAGGAATATATTGCCTTTGCTGCAAAACCAAACTGCGTGTAGGTGACCAGCACATGGCACTTTGAAAACAAAACTACATTAAAACTTCTACCTTTGAAATAAGGGAATAACAGACAATTTCAAATTTAAAATGTCCAGTACTGTCATCTTACAGGAAATAATGCTGAACTAGCAGAATGTGAAGATGACCAGCACTCAGGCTTGAATTAGAAAGTTACCATATTTTCTAATCTGTGATTCATGAGTTGGGTTAAATGCACTACTTCAATATGAATAAAACAATAAAAAATAAAAGAATAATTTAACACTTGAATAATTGACTACTTCAGAAAATTATTTTAGATCTACTTTGTTGCTCTTTTTTTATATACATACATCTACATGTATGTTTCAAGGGATCCACAGGTCAGAAATAATACTGTATGCATGGCTATTATTTGACTTTCTACCTTTCATACACTTGTTTTACTATTAATAGGATGAAAGCATGACTGAAGATCCCACAATTTAGCTAGGATTTGGGGTTCAGTCTGCCCATACTGGCAAATGGATTAGTTTGTGTGAGAAACACTCTTTTCCTGTGAAAAGTGAAAGGAGAACACACCTTCCCCATGAGAATACGGATAGTAAAGGGAAAACATCTGACACATTTTACATTTTTTGAAGGGTCAGGAAGAATTGTACTTTTCCAACTCCTTGATGGGCCTTTGAGAAATAAAAAGAAGATAACATTGCCACTGATCAGAAAACTGGTGAAAGGAAATACAGGATAGTGAACAGTGCTAACTGACTGAATCCTTGACTTGTCTTCTTGATTAGTATTTTTTTAAGTAGAGAATTTTTCTACTCTTGTTATCATATTTCTCTGGCTTCAGGCTGCACTGTCTCTGACACATAATATGACCACTTAGATGTGAAAATGTTTAGAAAAAAGACTGCTATAGAAAGGAACTGCAGAAACAGAGGAGCAAGTTGTCCAAAACTAGAATAAAAGCTAGCAAAAACTAGAAATATTGAAATATCTGAACAGACCTATTTTTCACTACATCACTATATATTATTTACTTGAGACCCCTTTGCACAAGGAAGCAATGATGTCCACAGTATCTCAGTCTCTTCCTATGGCAATGCCAGTGGCAACCTGAAGGATTAACCCTATTTTTTTCTTGATTCTGAAGTGCCCCACTGCACAATACATTCAGAGACATTTAGATAACAAGGGGAGTAGATAAACAGCTCTAAGTAACATTTGGAACCTTCATGTTAAATTCCCATTAATGTAAAATTCCCATTTATTATGTGAATATGCCAAATATTTTATAGATAGAGATTTTAATTAGAGAAGGTACAGAGTTTAAAGTCCTTGCTTATGTTTCCTGCACTTGTCACACCTACAAAATATTGTAAGCATCTTTCAAGAAAAGCATTTTCCGAGGTTATTGAAAACTCCTAGGCTTCATTATAATAAAATTTTATCTGTGTAGACTCATAATATTCATCTGTGGATGCAACATATGAAAAATACAGCAAGGAAAATTAGAAAACACAAATACATAAATATTAAACACAAATACAATAATTAATAATAAAGATCACTATGAATTCTTCTTAAAGGCAAAAAGTTTCATTCTGAATTCAGGTGAAGGTCAGAGCTGGCTCCTTCAGAGAAACCCATCTGCTCATATGTAGTATTACTTGGGGTTTACAACAGATCATTTCCAGCTCCATGCAACTTTATTCCACAGAGAGCTCAGAAAGCCCACCCTCAGATTTCAAAAAGACTATGTTCTTGCTATATCTAGCAGAGTTGAAGGTCCCTCTGAAAGAGGTGTAGCTCACACAGAGCAAGACTAGTCTGAAAGCTTAGCCAAAATTTGGAGGATGAAAAGGAGCATGACTGAGGCGCTTGCTCCAGAACTGTGCTATGGCTACAAAACAAAAGCCCCAGTGTAGACAAAACCAAAGGCCACCATCTGTAGTTTCTGGCATGCACTGAAGTTTTGTTTCACAAGAAAACTCATATAAAAAAAGAGAGGATAACCTCTCTTCCCACAAGTAGAGTTCATGAGATGTGTACAATGGCTTTTGTAGAGTTCTACCAGTGTTCCCCAGCATTGCTCATAGCTACAGGAAATTAAAAGCTCAAAACAGTTGATGCCGTCTGACAAGAATGGTGAGCACAGGGACTGACACAATGAATGTGGATTTTAGGAAGAAGAGACAACATTATCCTTAAAATCTGACATGAGACTGTTTCCTTATAAAATTGTGGACTCCTAGATAAGTCTCAGGTATGGTCTCCGTGTCCAACTAAGAAAATAACCTAACTTAGGTTCTGAAATTCTCTTGTCATCAAAGAAAAAAAAATCTTCTGCCTACCTGTGGAAAAAGATTCTAAACCTTCACACATTTCCACAACAAGTCTGATAGAAGGGAATGAAAAGCTTTTGTTTTCTTACTGCGCTCATGAGAGAGTCCAGCACGCTGACAGCAAATGCGGTTCCACATGCAAAGGGCTGCGTGAGGTACAGTTCTGTGTCGGGATCATCATCATCATCTTGGTCCAAGAACTGAACATTTGAATCATTTACTGAAAATAACAATAATAATATTGAGAGTAAAATCAGAAGGGTGTTTCTGGGTCACCAGCATGTGACCTTACACATCACACAGTCAAAGAAAAAGAAACGGCATATGTCTGGAAACACAGAGTTGTGTCTTGGACGTCACTGAAAATGAAATCAAGATGGAGGTGAAAATGTGCATTTAAAAATCTGCTGCTCGTTATCTTGCTCGTAAGAGGTGGCACTCTTGTTCTTGACAGGTTCCTATCCCTTCCCTGTAAAGTGGCTTTGTGGCACCAGTTGCCTGCGCTCAAAATGAGATACATTATGCTCCTGGATATGGATACAATCCTGCTGTATTGGTGGAGTACAGTGGCTGAGCTGTATGCATGTACACTGAAATGCTACCACAAGATACAAAGTTAGAACCCCGTTGTAAAATAAAGGCTGTCAATAAAACTGATATAGCCCACAGGCATCTGTTAGATGTGCTGCTGTGATTCTTACTGGAGTGGTGTTAATGCACTTACAGCTCAAAAGAGGATAAACTGTCCCTTTAACATGCATCTATCTGAATGAATGAGCAGTGATTCTCTTGCAGCACTGCCTTTTGCTCAAATATTTGTCTCTATAACTTCACCTTCTCAGCCACAAATTCTACATTAGCCAGTGTGAAAAAGAATCTACATCAGGCTGCTCTAGAAAAAAGCCCAAATAAAGTAATATTTGTCATTTTGACTTTCTCTGGCATTTCATTGTCACAGTTAAGCTCTCTGCTTCCAACTCATTCCAACCAAAAATAGTTGTTTCCTTGAGATCAGTGTATCAAGTGGATCATATTTCATGAAATATTTCATTTCCATATTAGCCTCCCTCAGGCATGAAAGCACATACTGCTTAGCTATGCCATTGAAATACCCTTCAACTTACTAAATGACAAATTAATTTCAGTTCCCATGCAAGAAAGGGAAATGAAAAACTTTTTGAGCATTTGAAACTGCACACACTGACTACATCCCTATTCCCCATGTGAACACATCTCCGGAGCCAACCCAGCAAACTTTGAAAATAACATGAGAACTGCTGTTAACTTGGTCAGATTTCAGCTCTGGTCTTTTAAGTCAGAAATTCTGCCTGCTATTCTAATGCTCCTTCTCATGCAGCTTCCATCCTTCCCATATAGTTTTCTTTTATATCCACTCTTTTTCCTAACTCTCTATATACTGCGCTTGCTATGTTCAGCTTACAAATTACTACAGATAAAGCCTCATGATAGCTGTCTAAATGAGATTAGGATAGAATTTAAAATTCTTGCCTTTGCACTCCCCGATGTAACTGTTAAAACATAACACCTTAGCACTGCAATAAGAGGAATGTTCTGCCCTGAAAATCAGAAGAATTCCATCCAAGAAAACACCAATATACACAGTACTTCTTTCTTTAGTACAATACCTATCAATTTATTCTCCAGATTCTTGAGCAATACAGTATTTGAAAGCCTGCTGTATCATTTCAAAATGTGCTTTTTGAAAAGCTTGTGCCTCAGTTTAATCTGCTAGCTGAGAGAAGGCACTATTGACAGCAGCATTCTTTTTCCACTCTCGTATGGCGCACTAACAGCTGACTGTGCTAGCCATGCATGGGGTCAGCTCCTCAGGTACTACAAATCTACTGTGAATTCTGCAGGTGGGTGTTTATCTTCAGTAGCTTTATCTTCCTGATGCAAGTTAGCACGCTGGGGTTTGTGGGCCAGGAGGGATGGGTTAGAACGGGGGGTGCTGTGCCATAGGAAAAGCTCATCAGACGCTGCTCCAAAGGCTGGTGAGAGCACTCTGTGTTGAGAGGGAACCACGCAGGAGCTTGGCTGCTTCTCTACAGCTTCAAACCCTGAGCTTCTGAGAAAAAGCCTACTCTACAAAATAAGCAAAAAAGTAGCTTGAGGGAAAGTATGATGCTTGGGGTTTTTTCTGGTATCTTTTACTTCTTGGACTTCCTGTGAAAAGCTGCTAAGGCATGTCCACCAAATTGACAACAGGCTGAAGTAACAAAAAAGAAAGAGAAAGAAGAGAGAAAAGGAGAGAAAAATTGGTGTAGGAGAGCGAGGGCCAGGGAGGTGGGGACTCAGGCCAAAAAAAATGAATTGGTGAGGAGGTGCTATGAAAACAGCCGGCAGGTCAGACGAGTGTGATCAAAGATTTACTGATGCTGCGTGAAAAAAAATCATTAAGAAAGACCAGAACAAGACAGTCAATTTCAACCAGAACCACAAATAAAACACATTCAAAGCAGTGCCATGAGGGTAGCCCCTCTGATACAGCCAGATAAATAAAGGAAAAGCTGATGACAGTAAGAACAACAACAGAAAATAAGACAGTGATGTGAAGGAAAAAGGCACTTCTTACCCAGTTCAGTTATCATTAGAATGTGGGTTCCACTGTTTTTTTCCTGACTGATTGAAACCAAAGGCAGAAGTTTGCCAGGCTTAGCTAGTAAGTAAAGTATTTAGGAGGAAAAGAAAGTACAGAAAGAGAATAAAGTAAGGGAAAAAGACAGGTAAGGCTCTAAAAAATAAAACTGAAAAAGAAAACAGAAGGACAAAGGACCACAAATCAAGTTTGTATTTGCCATGAAAAAAACAGAACAGCTTCTGCACTTCACATCACACCGCTTGACAACATAAATACCCACAGCTAGAGTGGAAATCAGAGTCTAGTTACCTACCATCATTGTATTCTCAGGAGTGAAATATCTCATACTATTATACAGAGTTTGGTTACACATGATTAAACAGTTTTGGACCATGAAGAAATAAACAAATGGCCTCTTACAATTGATTAAACGCACAGGAAATATCTGCTTATACTTACTCTGGCCTTTTTCCTTTTCTAACCTTAGCCTAAAGACCCCTGCTTGTTTGTTACACTATGCAAAAAGAGTCTTTTCTGATAGAATATTTATTTAGGAAAATGGAGAAAACCCAAAGGACAGAAATATATTTCAGTTATTCAAACAAAGTGAACCAACTGTTACTAAACTTTGTTTAGAAAGAATAATTCAAATCAGTTATCAAAAGAGAAAACATAGCAGTGTAAGATTGAGTATTGGTAATTTTTCTGTACCTGCATAACAAGGGAAGTGGGAAAAAGACATGGGAATGTACATGGAAGGATAAATGTTAGCTTTTCTTACCTAGCTCTGTTATGATAGGGATGTTGGCTCCTGTTGTAATGGAGGGTTGACGTAAAAGGCCATGCACTGGACTGTTGTCTGGAGATGTCCTATCCATCCCAGGGGGTGTAAAGCCTAAAACGAAAACAAAAAAACAAAACAAAACAAAACAAAACAAAACAAAAAACACACACAAAAAAAAAAAAAAAAAAAAAAAAAAAAAAAAAGCAAAATGGAGAAAGTTTACCGAGGGCAAACTACATCAAATTAAAAAAAAAAATAATCCCAAAGCAAACACCTTTCCTTAAACAGCAATTAAGATTTTAGAGAGTACTGTTTGTAAATGGTAGCACAACCATGAGGAACAAGCTGCTTCTGTTAGCCAGTTTTAGGTTTGATCAGAAATCAAGATTTAAAATGATCTCTTTTAGTGCTCTCTGGTAGAGCACTACCATCCACGGGGTGGGGTGTTTTGTAATTTCCATGTGTACCATTTATGATATGCATTTCTATAAGGATTACAATTGTAAAAATGGTGGGATGGAAGGGTCCATTCTAAAAGACAAAAAGATAGGGTGAAAGGAAGAAGACACAGGTTTTCACATGGTATGTGAGAGGATTTCTTGAAAAAACTGGAAAAAGTGACACTCTGAAGGAAACAAGGATGGGGGAAGAAACATGTTGGAAGGCCCTCAAAGGAAAAACAAAATCTGGAGACCAGCAACATTCACCTTTAAAAAAGACTCTTTTCAGGCAGATTTTCTACAGTTTGAAATGGAGCTCTTGACATTGAGCATTTTTTCATCTATTTTCTCATTGCAGAAGTGATGGTGAAAGTGAAGTGAAAGTGACTTTATGGTTTCATATAGACCAATATAAAGGTAGCATTTTTAGAGAAATATTTCTCTGCTAGGAATAAAATAATTGAGCCAAGTTTATTTTAAACCATACTTTTAAAAAAAAAACACATTCCTTTTTTTTTTTTTTTTTTTTCCATAGTATTCCTAAATCCTTTGACTTCACACCTGACATCCAGGGACAGACTTTTGGCCCTTTGTCACTAGTTCAGGATTCTGTATACACTTATTCTCAACTAATCACAGCCAAATTAATTCATGACTTAGATTTCACTATCTTCTTGCAGTATGGAAATTGTTTCACTCCATTAAATTCATTGATACATTCACCTGTTACTGAATTCAGAGGAAGATGATAAGATATTATCTACCTTACCTTCCTTCAATTTGGGTACCAATTTGCAAACCAGGTAATCTCTAAACTAAATTGTAGTTAGCATGTCATATTGGTTTTATATTTTCTTAAGAACTTACAGTTCTCTTCTGATGATAATTACATTGCTTTTAAACTGCCCCTAAACTACAAGTACCACTAGATCTGAGCTACTTGATTTAATTTTCTCTTTCCATTCATCTATCCCTATGTTTTGCCTGTATCACACAGAGAATGTACAGGTAATAAAACTAGAATCACTGGGAAGAGACTTTTTTAGCTCTGCAGAAGGTAGTACTGGTATGAATTTCATTCTATCATAAGAAAACTAGATGCAACGTGGTGACTGTACAGACAGGACAGCTTAAAAAGGGAGTGAAAAGTCTGCAAAGAAATTCCTCAGGAGGAAAGAAATGGATATGGTTTCTTCAACAGGCATGCAAGGCAAAAATATTGTCATGGAGAAACCTAAGTCAGTAAAGCAGCTCTATATGATATTATCAGTGGATAGAAAGTCTTTAGAAAGCCTGTGTTTTAGAGACAATCGGAAATGTTAACAGTCAGTCACGTAATACCACCTGTTGTGCTGAACTCAAGAAGACCAGCTTGGTGACAGTGAGTTGCAGCCCCAGCCAGTTTCAGTTTGCAGATGTTTTCTTGCATCTGGCACTATGACTGAGAGCTGTTTTGGCTCTTTGAATGTTTACATCTTCATGGCAGAGCCTGAGATTCCTCAGGCTTACCAAGTGAGTCTGACAGAGGTCCTTCAGTCACAACCTCCTAAGTCACAGGTAACACTGACACTCACATAACAGCAGAAAAATTGAAGTGGGACTCCCAGGGGAGGAAATGCTATCTGAGGATAGGTGGGTATTAGTGTGACACCTCCTTCTGCAGCAGGATCCAGTGTTTTAATTCTTGTGTTCAGTTATGGAAGGCATTCTTTTAGGAGATGCAAGATACGGCCTTTGTCAGATTAGAAAAAGCTCATCTAGCTGCAGATTCCTTGAGCAGTTAAGGTGGCAGGCCCAGTTGGGTCCCCTGATGAATTACTAGTCAAAATGGCACCAGCAAGACTTTTCATGGTCACTTATCTAAACATAAATAAAACTAATATTGGTCTCACACACTCTAGGGACTGTACTGCTGGGATTATCCCTAGAGGCTCTGCTTCTCTCTTTTTTCCTGAAGCCTTTCTTCCCATCTCAGGATGCACTTCCTAAACCACCTTCTAGTGAATCCAGCCCTTCAGATAGCAGGAGCACAGCAGTATTTCCCTACCAGTTAAAAGAAAATTGAAGTTAGTGTAACTCATCTAAATGTGCAAGCTCTTCCTGCCTCCCCTTCACTGTAAGGTGCACATACACAGAGACACGCACACTCTCCATCCAAGGCCATTTATAGCCACCTCTCTAACCCTTAGAATATTTGTCTTCCTGGGATGGTGTCAGAAGATTGAAGTAAATGTGGCATTTTTGTTAGACACAGATTGCCAGAAGCTCTGTAATTGCACACTGCATACACAGTACATTCAGTCTGAAATGCAGGAAGCATGTTAAAGGGATTGTGTTTTCTCCTTGAATGAAAAATACACTCATGCCTTAATATTTTTCATCCTACTGTCTTGAAAGATGTGAGAAGTATCTGATAATTTAATTTCCTTGCTCATACTTAGTTCAGACATTTTAGAAATTTGCTCTTAAGAAATATAAAAATCTTGGAGTATTTTCAGGAAAAGGAAAACCAGAGCATTTGGGGATTTTGTGTGCTTATGTTTTGAGTCACAAATCATTGAACACCTTCAAGACACATTCCTGCTCCCAAATCACAAACTAATTTCCATACACAGGCTATTTTTTTCCTCCAGAAGAGAAAAGAAAAAAAAAAAAGAAAAAAAAAAAGTGCAAGAAACGAACCTGCTTTATCAGAACTTTCATTTAAAGGCATGAAAAACTACAAGTGACAGCTGTGCAGATTCAGTGAATGTGACATTTTTAAATTTCTTCAACTTGACAAGTAAACACCTTAAATCGGTAATGCTATATGCATAATACATGACCTGTATTTTGACATCCATCATCAAATGCTGACTTGAGAAAATACAGGTTTGTACGTCAAGGAATGGCACCCATAAAGCAGGGAGAAATTCAGGTCACAGGGTATTAGGAAAACTCTATTTCATTACAGAAGCTGAAACAAGCTAAAGGCATCAGATTTAAGATCCATTTTCATCTGTGAAAAGATTCAATTCTTCTGTGCAGAGCATTCATTTAGAAATGACATGCTTTCCTCACAGCCTCTTTTCATTTTCCTTTTCATATTCCATTTTCTCCTTCAGTCCCCAAACCTTGTTCCATTAATGCTCATAAAAATCGTAAAACAGGGTTGATAGTTACGATCTTAGAAACACAGTATCTCCTTGTTCTACAAACAACTTAGGGAGCTCTGGCTACAATTGCTTAACAGGATCAAGCTCTACAGTAAAATTCACATCTGTGCTAGTCTGAGCACAGTGCTTGTAGAAGGAAATGCAGTGACAGTGGGGGGACTTCTGGAGACGGGAATTCTCTTTGCCAACAATTGGGAGGCACAGCAAAATCATATCAGTTCTGGCAGTCATTGCATCTGGTACTAAATTGCTGTACTGGGTTAGTGGTTGACTTTGTATCATTTCAATTTTGCTTTTTTGTGGCTTGTTTTTATTTTCCTCACTTATTAAACCGGCTTTACCTCAGGCCATGAGTTTTTTTCTCAGTGTGGGACTTAGTTGTCAGTCACAGTCAACCCACCACCATTGGCTATAGTGATAACCACTACAACATAAGAGTTATAGAATCATTTAAGTTTGAAGTGACTTTAAAATTCATCAAGTCCAACCACTAAACCAGCACTACACCAAGTCCACCACTAAACCATGTCACTGAGTGTCACATCAAAATGTCTCCTAAATGCCTGCAGGGATGGTGACTCCAACACCTCCCTGGGCAGCTTGTTCCAGTGCTTGACAACCCTTATAGTGAAGAAATTTTCCCTAATATCCAATCTAAACATCCCTTGGCACATCTTGAGGCCATTTCCTTCTGTCCTCTCACTTGTTACCAGGGAGAAAAGACTAACTCTCAGCTCACTACAACCTCCTGCCAGGTAGCTGGAGAGAGCAGTAAGGTCCCCCTTATCAAACTGAGGAAGCTTCAATAGGAGGCAGCCCACCCCTGCTTGTCTCTGAAACAAGATGCTGCCAAGCAGTGGATTAAGAATATCTTGGCTCTGAGAGGAACAGAGGTTTTGGGCTCCTGACATGCTCCAAATCAGTGAGGCCTGGCTCCCTCTAAGACACTACTGCTCACAGATAAATAACAATCAATTGCATCAGAAGCAAAACTAAGTCTTAAAGATGTTCTCACCTTTGTGGAAAAAGAACACAGGGGAAACTTTCTCCCTAACAGGAGGCAAGCTCTTTTTACCAGGGGGTGCAGGTGCTCCCCTGCTCTGAGCTCAGCATGGCCAGGTGAGCCATATAAAACCTCCCTGTCCCTCACAAAATACTGCCTACGTAGGGATGAGCAGCACTGGGCTCTTGAGCTCTGTGCCTCTCGAGCCAGGCTGACCCGTGGCCCTCCCAGGGAGGCACCAGCTGTGTCTCAGCAGTAACATTCTGAGATCCACAGTGGCACTGTGATGAAGTGCAAAATTAAGGAACGCTGGCATGGCTAAACATGCCTTCTTTCCACTGAAAGCACCACCAATTTTGCTCTGTGTTAGTGACTGCCCTGACTGCCAAATGATCTGCTGTTTGTGCTGGCCATAACCACTAACTTTTGTTTCTTTGCAGGTCACTTGACTGAGTAAAGTCTCACAAAATACAGGCAAGCTTGCTCTTCATAGCAGTAAATGTGTTCTTAAAG